GTAGTCGTAAACCTATACAAAAAATAGATACGAAAAAAAAAATACGATTCGCAGTCTCTCGTTCCTTTGTGGAGGGTGCATACAGCCCAGAACCCTTGATCTCTTCCTTCGTTATGCCCGTAAGACGGACAAAGAGCCGTGCTTATGGGAAACATGATACACATCTCTTTAATGTTTGTAGTAGAAACGGAGGAAATGAATCACCCGGCCCCCCCCCCCCCCCCCCCCCCAACAGATCATAAAATCCATGTGGACAACAAAAACGCATCACACGTACAGAAGAAAACCCAGGTTAACCGCACAACTCTCTCACTACCGACAACCCCCCCCCCCCCACCCCCCCGCATTTCTGCTTCTTTCTCAGCTGCCGTTCGACCAACCCCTATCCCAATCAACTCGAACGTATTGGTCTGTTTATTGATTAGTCTTAAGCTTTTTTTCAGCCTGTACCCAGACCGCCAATGCAGATGGCTTGACACAATGTGCTATCGAGTATCCGACCAAGGAACGCGGAAATCGCGCCACAGAATGTTAAGGAAAGGGATTATAAGCCTCCAAGCTCAGGTGCAAGCTGGCAAGACAAGATAGTTTTCCAACCTGATTAAACCTGATAGAAGAAGTTATGATAAAAAAGTTGATATATTATTCTTCGTTACTCCTTTTTTTTCTAATCGACAGGATTATACTAAAGACTGTTTTTTTCTGGGGTTTTTTTTTTTTTGGGGGGGGGTGTTAGGTTATTGTTTTCTTTTTCTCTTCTATTCTTCTGTTGATTTGATGACGCTGCATTGCGGTTCCTTCTGTATGGGGGGTACTGAGCCCAGTAAGTTTCAAGTATTTGCTGCTTGGGTGGGAATTGTAAGGTGAAAGATAAAGAAAAATTTGACAGAACCATTAATTTAAGAAAGCCAGCAAGATCTCTGGATATAATGTTAATAGAATGGATGAAATGTATAACACCACACGTATGAAAAAGATAAAAAGCATTATAAACGACCCATCACACCCCTTTTTCACACAAATTGTAAGAACACGCAGCGGCAGATATGTACCTCCAAAAACAAGGAAAGAAATATATAAAAGAAGTTTTTTCCCATCAAGCATAAGGCTTTGGTCAGAATGAGCATAGAAGTGTGTTGCTCTTAGAGTATGTATCTGTATATAACTCCAAATGTCTAGTATTTAAATTCCTGCATGTGGTTGAATGATGCATTTGATGTAAATGTACATTTTGTCAGCTTTACTTCTCCTTTCATATTGAATTCTAATTAGAGTAATATAATATATAATTTAAATTTTTTATGTATACCTGCATGTGTTTTTACGGTCCTGTACAGCCAAGGAAATTTCCCTCTGGGATAATAAAGTACTATCTTATCTTATCTTATCTTATCTTATCTTACCTTATCTTATCTTATCTTATACGTGTGCATTCACCGAACGCTTCGAGTGGGGGTGAACGAAATTGATCCCAGCTGAAACCCTGAAACTAAACCCCTGAGACTGACT